CATCCATCCATCCATCCAACAATTCATCCATTCATTCATCCATCCATCCATCTATCCACCCATCCATCCATCCATCCATGCACATATCCATCAATCTACTTATCTAACTATCCATCCATCCATCTATCCATCCATCTATTCATCCATCCATCCATTTATCAATCTATCCATTCATTCATCCATCCATCCAGCCACCTGTCTAATCATCCATCCATCCATCTGACCAACCAACCATCCATCCATCCATCCATCCATCCATCCATTCATCCACTTATTCATATATCTATTCATTCATCCATCCATCCATACCTCCATCCTTCTATCTATTAATATATCCATCCATCCATCCATCCATTCATCCATCTGTCTATCTATCAATCTATCCATCATTTCATCCATCCATCCATCCAGCCACCTGTCTAACCATCCATCCATCTAACCAACCATCCATCCATCCATCCATCCACCCATCCACCTATTCATAAATGTATTCATTCATTCATCCATCCATCCATCCATACTTCGATCTTTCTATCAATTAGTATATCCATTCATCCATCCATCCATCTATTCATCCATCGATCCATCCATCCATCTATCCATCTATTCATCAATCTAGATATAAATGTGCCTCATGTTTTTTTGTAAAGATATTCTTATGAATATGCAAAATAAACTACCATAAAGTGATATTAGAGAGAGAGAAAGCTGACCTTTGGTAGTGTAAATGTTACACAACCGTCATGCAACATTCTTGACTGAAAAAAAAAGTATATCTCTCTTTTGTACCAAACAGAACAGGGTAAATGCCGAGCTAGTGTTTCTCACATACTGATAAACCTGTTCTTGTGAACTTTTGAATATACAGGGGTAAAATAAATGCTCATATCATAAAGACATGGCGGGGGGAAATGTAATGTAAAGCTGTGCTTCTTATACAATCTGAGACCCACTTTATATCGGATATAACTCAGAGAGCTGATTTTTAAACAAAACAGACCGTAAACGCTCTGGTTTTTGCATTGGCATACAGTTCGCCGGAAGCGCTTAACCCAGGTTACTGGCAAATTAAAAGTCCCATTAGCATGCTTCGGCATATACCCTATGAAAGCCATGTTTTCAAACGGACTCCCGTCACCTGCTATTGGACAGAAAAGTAAAAGCCCCGCCCCAAAAGCCACACCATAGGCTGAGTGTTTGTTGCCGTGCGGAGCTGATCTGAACACTCAAACAAACAGAGTCAAAGTTCTGAAGGCAGCACAGAGACTGTGTTTACACTGGGAGGAAATAAACCTGTAATGGTTTACACACAGCTGTCTCGTGCACACAAACCCCAACTGAAGAGTGTTTTAGCAGATCCAAAAATGACACACTTCTGCTTTCATTAATATCAATAAAAAAACAAGGTAAACAGAAAAGCTTGTGTTGTGTATCATCCGTGAACATACAATGAATGCAAGCAAGATTCACATATGATGTGGGTAAATAAGCACGCACGCACGCACACACACACACACACACACACACACACACACACACACACACACACACACACACACACACACACACACACACACACACACACACACACACACACACACACACACACACAAACAAGCAGTGGATTGTTTTGTGAATTGTGGGGACATTGCATAGGTTTCACTGTTTTTATACTGTACAAACCTACCCCTACCATATCCCCAAAACCAACCCTCACAGGAAACGGTCACAATTATATCACAAGAAACATGTACACACACACACACTAACACACAAGTTAATCATTCACCTTTTTTATTGTTTCTCTAACCAGTGTTTATTACAATGAAAGGAAGAACCACCCTGACCAGAGGCAGAATTCAGCCCACATTCAGCCATTGAACCCGGGTATTTCTGTTTCACATCCTCATTAGTATCAGACTAACCGTAACCCTTCACACACACGCACAGAGACTTTTTCAAAGCGTTCAACGTCTACTCCCCTGTCTCACCATGAATGAGACACCACAAACAGACTCTGTATAGACGTGGCATCCCAATAAAAAGCCACAACACACAGATTCAAGCATCTCCACGCACGCATAGCAGACAAAAACACCAGCAACACACAGCCTGCCAAGATAATGGCTCAATGATGACTGAAGAAAGCCTCTTCTGGAGACTCAACAGCATGTTTTAAAAGCCTTCAGGTTTGAAGGTTGAGAGAAACACAGATACTTAAAGCTGTAAGGAATATTATACAGTCTTCTGTCGTTTTTCAGGATGGGTAAATTACATTGTTTGACACATAACTTCACCTCACATAGTTAAGCAAGTATTTTCAAGAGCTCCAATGATAAGACACATATAGAGAATGGGAATGTGTCAATAGTGCGCAGTGTGTTCTGGGAATTTGTGACCCGGGAGCCTATAAATATGAAAGCATTTTCAAAAAAGCTCATCCCTAAGCTGTTCTAATGATAATAATAATAATAAAAACAATAATGATAATAATAACAACAACAACAACAACAACAACAACAACAACAACAATAATGATGATAATGATAATGATAATAATAACAAAAATCATAATAATAATAATAACAATAATAATGATAATGATAATAATAACAATAACGATAATGATAATAATAATAATAATAACAATAATGATAATAATAATAATAATAATAATAACAATAATAATAATAACAATAATGATAATATTAATAATAATAATAATAACAATAATAATAACAATAATGATAATAATAATAATAACAATAATAATGATAATGATAATAATAACAATAACGATAATGATAATAATAATAATAATAATAATAATAATAATAACAACAATAATGATAATAATAATAATAACAATAATAATAATAATAATAACAATAATAATAATAATAATAACAATAATGATAATAATAATAATAACAATAATAATAATAACAATAATGATAATATTAATAATAATAATAATAACAATAATAATAACAATAATGATAATAATAATAATAATAATAATAATATTGATAATAATAATAACTATAATATTAATAATAGCAATAATAATAATAATAATAACAATAATGATAATAATTATAACAATAATGATAACAATAATAATAATAACAATAATAATAATAACATTAATGATGATAATAATAATAATTATAATTAAAACAATAATGATAATAATAATAATAATAACAATAATGATCATAATAATAATCATCATCATCATTCATTCATTCATTTTCTTGTTGGCTTAGTCCCTTTACTAATCCAGGGTGAACCGAGCAACCCATCCAGCACATCTCTATGGAGCGGAAACGCCAACTGAGCCAAGGATCGAACCAGCTACCCAGTGACCTTCTTGCTGTGAGGCAACAGCACTACCTACTGCACCACTGCCTCGCCCCAATAGTAATAATAAAATAAAAAAACTTAGTTTTGTCCTGTTTTTAATCCAAATATCCAGCTTTGTGACAAGTGAAGAGTGAGTAAATGATGACAGAATCGTCAGTTTTGTATGAACTATCCCTTTAATGTACGCCTGCAGAATATTTGCAAGTTTTTTTCTGCTTGCTGCAGGAAAACTTCAGCTACAGTTGAAAGAAGTATATCAAGTACATCAATAAAGGAGCAATTCCATGCAACTGTCAACCTTGCCATGAAAAAAAGTATGTTTTTACCAACATATGGTACCCTTTTTAATTTTTTTTGTGTAATCAAGTTTTTTACAGTAGTTTAGAAATGCTCAAAACTGCATCTGTCAATGTTTTCAAAATATTATATTTGATTTACCAAAATCACACAAGTGCCAATTTCACATCCGTCACATCCATAACACAGAGATGTCACATCCATAACATCTCTTTTTCCTCATAAAGGCAACAATATTAAATAAAATAAAATCAATAATTTTTGTTCTTTTGTTCTTCATTTTGTTTATCATTATTTCTTTTGGGTTGAGCAGTTTAATTCACAGAATGTTTACTAAGTATGCTGTATACTGTAATCTTTCAGACTGTTTTGGTCACATCCATAACGCATGTTTATTTCCCTCATGTAAAGTACAAAACATGTTTACAGACAGATATTTTTCTGCTTTCATAACTCTGTGGTTAGTTGTTCTGGAAATTAATGTTTCAATATAATGTTAACACATACTTTCTATGCGTATTTATGTTTTGAGTTTTTACTGCGAACGTCACATACATAACGCTGGAATAGCTCAAAGAAAATACTAAAGAAATGGATGCTGAAGCGTGCAATAATTCAGCATTCAAGTCTAAAACAACACTTGATCATTCAATGAGAGACATGCAGAAGCAAGTATTTGAAATAAGACACAAACATTGCGCAATTTCCTCCCCCCCAAAAAAAGCATGCTAGGTTTATAAACCCAATATAAACATGAAACAGCCTTTATCTGAAGTCCAACCACACACCCTCTCTCTCTCTACCAGTGTTTCGCACTTTAACAGCCACAACGAGCATTCAAATGATCTTTACTCTCACTAAACACACACACAGCACACAGGTTAGAGTGTTACACACACACACACACTTCCTCTATATGTGGTGTGCAGAGGGGAACCTCCATGTGACAGAAAAGGAAGCAGCAAGTTAACACTTACACACACATACACACACAAGCATGCATCTCAGGACAGCTCTTTCACAAAATCAATCACACACACTGAGGTAAAGTTGATTTAATAGTCGCACGTTCAGTCTTACTATCATTTCAGGCGAGTGTTCCTAAATGGTGAACTCATTAGCAGCTAATAACTATCAACGTACAGCTAATTAAATAGTGCTAATGTTGTTTTGAATGTTGAATATTAATAGTAGCATCATAAATAAAGCAAAGTGCGGATATAAAACCGACCTCAATCAAACACACACACACACAAGCACGCAATTCAAGACATTTCCTTCACAGAGTCAATCCCTGAAGCCTGACACACACACACAATAACGCAGCGCTGCATTACCGGTGCAGTTGTGGTTCAGCATGGCCGTAGAGTTGCACGCTGGAGCTAAATCTGTCGTACTGTCCTCCATTCTTCACTGCTGTGTTTCCTTGCGTCTATCTGTCTGTCTTTTCCCGAAAGTCTCTGTTTTCTCAGTCTAACACACACACATTGTTTCTTCGGGACCGTGCTGCTCATACAAAAAAGCCCGAGCGAGCGACTGAGCACTCGAGAGCGAGAACAAGGGAAACCAGAGGAGGAGGAGATAAAGGGATAAAAAAAGAAAATCTTGCTTGGCTAAGGGAGTGGCTAAAGCTGCTCTGCTCACACGTCTGCCGTTCCACACACACACTCACACACACTGTAAGCTGTTGTACTGTGCACTGGGACGGGGGAGGGTCATGAGGAAAGAGGAGGAGACCACGTGGAGGTGTCAAAGCAAGAAGAAACCGGCTGTAAAACATGACGACTCAATAGATTAGAATTGAACATAAATATTCAATATGAGATCAATTCTGTGCAAATGTTTTCATAAAAATAGCAAAACCCTTTGAGATGGTTATGTAATGTAATGCAATTTCTCAGTTTATGCTTATTAACATTTATAAATACAGCTGTACATATGTTATAAATAGGTTTTTTGGTTCTGTTAGAATACATTTTAAAGAAATATAAGAAAATGATTACATTTGGAAAGGGGAAAGCTTCCAAGCCTAGGAACACCATCCCAACTGTGAAGTATGGGGGCGGCAGCAGCATGTTGTGGGGCTGGTTTGCTGCAGGAGGGACTGGTCCACTTCACAGCATAGATGGCATCATGAAGAAAGAACATTATGGAGAAATACTGAAGCAACATCTCAAGACATCAGCCAGGAAATTAAAACTTGGCCATAGATGGGTCTTCTGAACAGACCATGACCCTAAGCATTCTGCCAAATTAGTTCAAATGTGCTTTAAAGGACAAAAGAGTGAATGTTTTGGAGTGGCCATCACAAAGCCCTGAACTCAATCCTATAGAAAATGTGTGGGCAGAGTTAAAAAAAGCTTGTGCGAGCAAGACAGCCTACAAATCTGACTCAGATACACCAATTCTGTCAAGAGGAATGGGCCAAAATCCCTGCAAACTATTGTGAGAAGCTTGTGGAAGGAGACCCAAAACATTTGACCAAATGTATACAGTTTACAAGCAAAACTAAAACAAAATACCAAGGAAATGTGTGTAAACTTCTGAATGTCTAAAAAATTCGACATATATATATATATATATATATATATATATATATATATATATATATATATAAATATGT